TCTGCAGAATTTGAGGCAAATTCCGACCCTCGGGGGTTTTGGGTAGAGCCTGACACGGCCACGCCAGTTACAGCCGGTCTAAAGATAGCGGGGATGGGGGGGGACACGGACACGACTTCTGAGTGAAATTCTCCAGCAAACGTCAGGCTGAAGGTGGTGGTAGCGTCATGGCCGTTTTCTCCCATTAACTTCTCCCCAGAAAAGTGGTGACTATCGCCAAGTCGAAGAAGTTTCGGGATCATCACGGGAAGGTTCTGCTGGAGGGTCACAGGCTGATCAAGGATGCCCTGGAGGCAGGAGCTGTGCTGCAGACTCTCTTCTTCAGCACCGTGGGGCACCTGAAGGAGCTGCCCGAGGCAGAGCTAAAACGAGCCAACTTAGTTAAGGTGAAATTTGAAGACATTAAGACCTGGTCTGACGTCGTAACTCCTCAGGGGCTTATAGGTAAGTGCCTTGGAAACAGTCACAGCGCTGCTCAAAGAGAAACTTATTTCACACTTAGTAAGTGAATAATGACTCTCTCTTCATAACCTTCCCCTAGACATTCTGGCAGTGTGTCAAGAGTGGCATAATTTGAGAGAATTCCCATTTATTTGGCCTGCTGTGGTAACTGTGAAAGTGGCTCCTAGAGTGCACTGAAGGTGCTAATGCTTGTTTTTAATAGCACGTTGCTCCAGCTCTGCTGGGAAGTAGTTCTCCTTGTCAAGTGACAAACTCTTCTCAAGCTTCTCTTCAGCAGTGCTTTTCCTAATGCTTTCTCCAGCACCTCTTTAGTGAAATTTGGGCCAGCTACATGAGAGACAGGCCTCTCCTTGGGGTGTGTTAGTCAGAAGCCTGTCAGCACTTTTGTCTCCTCAGGGATCTTTTCCAAGCCTGACCATGCCAAGATGTCTTACCCTGCCGCTCAGCTAGCCAGCTCCCTGCCACTGCTCCTCATCTGTGACAATATCAGAGATCCGGGAAACCTGGGGACTATTCTGAGATCTGCAGCAGGAGCAGGCTGTGAGAAAGTGCTGCTCACCAAAGGTAAGGGCCTTTTCCTGGGGAAAAAAAGTTTAGTTTGAGTAATTTGGGGGTAAGGCAGGGAATAAGAGGTGCTTGAAGATGTTGTTCTCAAGAGTTCGTAAGCAGTGCCTGGCACACTGCTGTGGGCAGCAGCTACTGAATCCATCTTTCTCAGAGCTGCTGCACTGTCGCTGTTTTCCTCCCTTCCATCTCAGGCTGTGTGGATCCGTGGGAGCCAAAGGTGCTCCGTGCAGGCATGGGGGCTCACTTCCGTCTGCCCATCATTGCTAACCTGGACTGGGAATCTGTTCCCAGCAACCTTCCTGCCGGCATCCAGGTCTGCGTGGCCGACAACAAAGAGCCAGGTGCTCAGGCTGAGACCACGTCCATGCCAAGGGGAGCTGGCAGGGCTGGCTCTGCTCCTGGCAACCTGAAGGCTCCTGTAAAATCCAAACCCAAGGCTGCTCCTGAGCCCGAGGATGAGGAGGAGGCAGCGGATGTCTGTGTCCCAGAGCTGGCTGTGCAGTATTACTATGAGAACTGGACGCAGACTCCAGTGGCAGTGGTGATCGGCGGGGAGACCCACGGTCTGAGTCCAGACGCGCTTCACCTTGCAGCCAGCACGGGGGGGAAGAGACTGGTCGTTCCTGTGGTGCCAGGTGTGGACAGCTTGAATTCCGCTATCGCTGCTGGCATTGTGCTGTTTGAGGGGAAGAGACAGTTGCTGCGGAGGCACAAGCAAGAAGATGAAAGGCAGAAGTTCCCTGTAGTGGGCTAAACGGCTGAGGTTTGGGTGCTGAAGAAGCATCTCTTCCCTCTGGCACACTGTAGAGTTAATAAAAGAGCGGCTCAGGCTGTTTGGTTTGCAGTAAATGAGTATTAAACAGTCTGGCAGTGTTGGAGCTGTGCCTGGGTGAGTGTGTGACTTCCAGGCAAGCCTGCGGGCACTCCGGCCGCACGGTGATGCTAGTGAGAAGGGAAAGGCCGACGGGTGGGAGCCCTCGCCTTGCCGGCAGCCAGCTCCCTGCTGCCCGGCTTTTCTCACTCTCTCACCCAGCAGATCTGGGGAGGCCTCGGATCCCTCACTGCGGGGTCAGGGCGCAACTGCTGCGGCAGCGTTTGTGCTGGTCCGGCCAGGATGCTGCTGACGGCGTGTGTCCTTCCTCTCAGAGCTCTGGGCTGTGCAGCCTGGCTGCTGCTAGTGGTTTTTGGGGACAGAAAGGCCACATGGCGGCCACCTGAATGGGTCCTGCCTGTGCTTACCCAAACCCCGTGCTCTAACAAGCCATGAGAGCAGCACACCAAACCTTGCCGTGGGTGCCTGCTGCATGCCAGGCTGGCCCTGGGGCTGGTTGCAGTGTGGGGTGTCTGAGCTCCGGCACTCGCAACCATGCCGCTCCCGGGAGACGGTGGGGTTGTCCCCGCACAGCCGCCAGGGCACCACTCGCTCCGGCAGCTGGGCCTCAGCACGGATGAATTATGAATGAGGGAGGGGAAGGATGGAAAAGGAGCTGTTGGTGCTGCCGCTCACTGTGGCCATCCCTTGGAGGGGAATGGGCGCTGGGCCCCAGGGAAGGAGACCCCGGGGCCTGTCTATGCCTCCCCAAGGGCAACAACTCTACCTGTAGCAACCCACCTCTGGATCTGGGACATGCCACGCAGCCCTGGTCACGCTGGAGGCTCCCACCCAGGCTGCACAAGGCTCTCGGCATTGCTGGCAGCTGTGTGTTGATAGATGGCTTCTGCGACAGCGCTGGCTGCCACCCGGCTTGCTGTGCATTTAAAAACGCCTCCTCTGTGCTGGCTGGCAGTCGCACAACCAGCTACTTACCACCAGCCCGCTCTGCTGGCTCTGGTTTCCTGTTACCACGTTGAAATCTGTTATATTGTCTGCTCGAGAAATACCCAGAGATGGAGATTCAGCTCCTTCCATGCCTGAGCCCTCATATCCGAGTGGCATGCAGCACTGCCCAGGCTGGGTGTGTGGTATGTTGTCAGACAGGGGCGTTGCCTCCAGCCTGAAACTGCTCCAGCTGAGCAATTCCATCTCCAGAGCCCAGTTCCAGCTCTGGTCTCATCAAATTGACCCCAAACGACCCAATTCTCAGGCAGAAAATTGATGCCTTGCTCCAGTTCCTACTAGGCAGCTATGGCAGCGCTGAGCTCACGGCCTTGCTGGGAGCCCGAACCACAACGTCTGGAGGAGAATACGGGTTCTCCCTCTCTCACATCAGCCGCTGCTGCATGACCAAATGCTACAGACCCTGCGGTCTTTCAAACCAAAAACCCATCGGGATTGCCCCCAAACCAGCAGGCACCTGCTGAACACAGGCAGCGTGTGCTGGAGGCAACACTGCTGCTCAGCCTCTTCCACCAGCTTAAGTCCAGACCCACGCAGCTCACTGCAGGAGCCCCTAACCCTGTGGTGGAGGGTAGCTCACTGGAAAGGGTTATTTCCTCAAAAATCTCCATGTAAAGGGGATACGAGTTAATTTAGGGTTAATTCAGGGTAGGTTGCTCGCAGCCCTATGCCCAGGGAGGTGCAGCAAGCTGTGGCTCCCAACCCTGCTGTGCTGTTGCCATCACGCTTGGGCCAGCTCCTGCCTTCCCCGGCTCAGGGACCTGCGAGCCGGGCAGCACCGCTGCTCCTCCAACAGCTCACCAGTCAGTTAATCACCATTGAACGCGAAAAACTCTGAAACATACTGTTTCTGCATTGGTGAGCTGTCGGCTTTTTGCAGCTCCTACCAGGGTAGGTTGCTGCAGCAGCGATAAAAGGGATGAGGCCATAATCCCACCATCACTGACTAGCGAGCTGAAAGGGAAAAAAAGCAGTGGCTTCTACAACACCCACTATTCAGCACACGCCTCCGGGGATGCCACCCTCCTGGGGACGCTGGCAGAAACCATCGCAGCCGCTGCCAAACGGCTCCTTCTTGCCTGGGGAAGAGGGGCTGTGCTGGGCACAAACCCGACTTGACCGCAGGACAAGCCAGGCACAGGCAGGGGCTGCGCTAGCCCAGGGGGGGAACGCATGATCCTGGCTCAGCCGCCGCAGCACTGGGAGCTGCCGGCACTGACACCTACCCAGGGGGACTGACTGGGGTCCCGCGCAGGCTCCCTCACCCCAACAGCGGGACGCGGCAATCAGCACCTCTGGGGACGAGGTTATTATAACAGTTTTATTACAAAGTTCCAATCACCATGTACAGTTTTTACAATGTCACTTTTCGGGGGCTCGGCTGTGCTGCTTGGGTTAGGGAGGGATTTTTTTTTTGTTGGGTTTTTTTGGTTATCTTTTAAAGAACAGCACCATTAACGCTGGGTTTGGGACACACCTACAAAAAACAGCTCAACCAACTAACATAGAGGGGAGAGGACAATTCATACCAGAGAGAGGGGCAAGAAGGGATGGGGAGAGCACAAGGGAGAGACGAGAGGGCAGCCCGGTGGTGGTCCTCCTCCTGGCTCAGAGAGGGAGGGAGGGAATACCCACCCATCGCAGGCAGGTGACCCCCCGAAACGCACAGCCAGCACTGCCTAAGGCTGTCGGTGCTTGGGGTGGGAGGTGGGAAACCCACCCGGAAAGGTCTCACCCCCAGGAGGAAGAGCTCGGCTGCACTGTGATCTTTCAGAGGTTGTCAGCAGTTAAGACTTTGTCTTGGCCTCGTCAGGGCACTGGTACTCGGGTGGGAAAGGAAGATGGGCATGGGGCAAATGGGACAGTTTCCTTATTGCTTCCTTGAAGTCATTTAGTCAGCAGGGGTGGTAGGAAAGGAAAAAAGGGGGAGAAGGAGAAGAAAATAGCCCCAAGAACCCCATCCACTGCTTGATGCATACGTTGGGAAGAACACCATGCAAAAAGATTTGCCTGCTAGCTAGTGCCGTGTATAAAATAACAATACGGTAACAGTTCTGGCCTGGTTATTAGAGAGTATATCACCATGAAGCACAAGCGAAGTCTCCAAACGCCAACGACTCCCTGCTGAAAGTGCATCTCAAGGAGTTTGCTTAGGAGAAGGATTCACTGCGTAAAACAAGGCACCACAAGAAGGTTGGATACTGGGTCGGGCGTGAAGACACGCTGGAGAATCCACGAGCGGCGGAAGAGAGACCTAGTTTTAAATAACGTCCGTTGGTGCAGAAGCTCCCTTAGATGGGCTCGGGTTTTAGCTTGTCTGCTAGAAAGTCGCTGACAAAGGCTTCCACGATCTCAGGTGTGATCTCCTCCACATCCATCACATACTTGGCCCGGGCTGACATGTCCAGGATGGTAAGCAAGGGCGCAGCCTCGGGCAGGTTGGTGTAATCCCGCAGGGAGTCGGTCATGTCGTCCTGAAGGCCAAAACGAGAGGGAGAGAGGAGCCATCAGCAGAGCCAGTTTGCTGCTTCCACACTGTGGTCCAGCCCACAAATACCTCCAGAGCGCTTGGGCCTTGCACCAGCATTGCAGGACCGTAAGCGCAGCAGGCAGCACCTGCCTTGCCGCCTGCTCTGCCTGTGGTTTGTGTCAAAACCAAACTGGACTGATTTATCCCAGGCTGGGATGGGACCACACACTCCTCCAACCCTTTCCGAACAGGGCACAGCTCCCAGCACCCCCAGACCTGCCACCCTGGGCCACCCTGGAGTCTCTAGGGCAGGAGTTGGGGGCAATGCGGGGGGTCACCAGCCCTCTACCAGGACAACCACGGCCTCACCGCTCACCAGGGGCGGATGCTGAAGGGACCCAGGGGCACACCTGGAGCAAACCAGGTCCAAAACAGGAATGGGACGAAGACCTGTGCTTTTGAGCCAACGCCGAGACCCCACTGGCATGTCCAAGCATCTGAGGGCATGCACAAAAGCCGCAGGGCTCCCTAGCAGCAGGCTGGTTGCAGCGGGAGCAGGCTGCCCTCCCTTCAGCCAGGCACAGCACAGCTCTAAGGCAAAGGAAAGAATTTGTCTCTGCCAAGGCTGTGCAATGCAGAAGCCGGCACCGGGGCAATTCATCCCCTGCTCCCAGCCAAGCCCGCAATGTGCAGCAGCCGAAACGGGGCGTTGCTCCGAGCCCCTTTCCAGGGGCAGTAATAGAAATCAATCAATCTGGTGAGCGGCTGGTGGCTCTGCAGCACGTGGCGGCAGCCGGCAGGGTAACTCCTGTCGCGCCTCCCCTTCCATTGCAGGGGTTTCTGGCGCAGCCGGACCACGTGGCGGGGAAGGGCGAGCGGGGCTGGGGCGCTCGGCCACCCCCTACCCTTCCCACCTCCCAGCCAAGGTGTCGGGACGCTTCGTCCTTTATCGGATTGCCACAAAGGGACCAAAAATCGTTTTTAATAAATGCAAAACCGGCCCAGACGGCACTGGGAGAGGAATGGGAGGCGCCTGCTCCGGCCGTGGCCGGGTTGCTTTGTGCATGGGGGCCAGCAGAGACCCAGGGCCAGCGCTCCCGGCTATTGAGGTGACGGATGAATGGGACGTGCCGGACGCTCCCCATTCTTCGGCCCGGCTGCCGCAGGGACGTCGGGAACTGGATGAATAGCGGCAATGTTTCAGCTACAGCCAGCGAGCGGGAGGAAAACGCTTTGCAGGCTCTGGGGGAGGGGGGCAGGTCCTGGACCCTCCCAAAATAGCCTTTCCAACAAGGGGCTTATTCAGGGGCACGGGGCTGAGCTGGGATGCTTGGAGACCCGTTATGGCGGTGGGAACGGGAGCGCCTGCCCGGAGGGGGCCGACGGGGCTGTGGGAGGCAGTGGCAGGGGCTTGCCTGGCAGGGGGGGCCAGGGTGCGGCAGTGGGGACCCTTTTGTGCGCAGGGCGGCTCCGGAGGGCCCCGCTCACGGCACACTGCGGCTGTGACGTGAGCGTGGAGGGACGGAGCAGGCGCACGGCCGCACAGCGGCTGCCACCTGCCCAGGCCCTGAGCAGCACCTCGGGAGGGGAACTGCAGGCCTGGGGAGGGGCGGGAGCTTTTTTGACCCTTACGCAAAAGCTCCCTCGTTTGCAAACCTGCAGCAGGGCAAAGTGGCTGCGTGGGGGAAAGGGAGGCCAGAAGCCCCATTTCCGCATTTCCCATTTTCTCCAGCAGATCCCTGGCTCTAAGCACTGCAGCCTGCCCATGCCCCAAATACCAGCCCAGTCACCAACAGTGTGGCCAGCTCAGGAGACAGCCCTCGTTTACAGGGTGACATGCCCAGCCCAGCCCCAGGGCAGGGCAGAGTGGAGCTGGGATGCTGGTGCTGCGGCCAGCAGCTGGAGCAAAGCCCCGTGTCGCCCTGCTGCTCCCCGAGTGGCCCCTGCCCGCTTCCCAGGGGTGGTTTTGTCCAGCATCACCCGCACAGCACAGAAACAGGCCCAGCCAGCAGGATCAGGGCTGCCTCCTGCATGTACCTCTTAAGGAAGAGGCTGGAGCTCTGGTCCCTGCCCTCCTCCTGGCGTGGGAAGGCAGGTAGCAGCACTTCAGCAAGGACAGCAGCGCCGGCTGGGCCAGGCTGAAAGCCAAACCCTGGCTCCTCTCCCTCTGCCCAGCCAGCTTTCCTGCCTGCAGAGCCTCAGGGTTCGAGGGGGCAGTGGGCAGTGCAGTGTGGGGCTGGCAGCCCCAGTGTGGCGGCTCCCGCTCCCTCCTACCTCCTCCAGCCCCGCTCTGCCCGTCCCCAGCAGCTCCCTCACCTGCCATCAGGCTTTTCCACCTCTGAGCAAACGTGGCTGGGACCCCTTTGCCAGAAGTAATATCCAGCAACAAGAGCAGGGGACTGAGCCAGAACTCAGGTCTGGTTTTGCTCCAGGGTCCCTGACTAGCTGCAGTAGCTCTGTGCCTCAGTTTACCCACCTGAATAATGGTAACAGCGGTAGCCAACCCAGCTCAGTCCTCGTACAAAGACACAGCAGGATGCAGCCCTGTGCTCTCTTCCCGCTTACCTCGCCCGCCACGAAGAAGAGCAACGGTGCCTCCTCCTCTTTGGCTTTGTACTTGGCGATGATTTTTTCAGCTATGGGCTGAATCAGTTGTTTTGCTGCCTCCGACTCTCCGTCATCCTCTGAATCTGCAGGGCACAGAGGTGGGGAGACAAAACAAAAGAGGCAAGGCAAAAAGGAGGTTAGGATCAAACAGATGGAAAGTGGCTGGGTGCTGGTAGCTCTATCCCACAGCACCACCACGCAGGAAACCGGAGCCCGGATGCGCAGCGCAAACTTCAAAGCCGCACGGCTCTGTAGCAATTAGGGAGCAGCTGAAATGTGCTTTTCATGTGAGACAGGGAAACACGTAACAGAAGAGCAGCTCCTGCTCCCCAAATACTTCACTGCTGACTCCCTGGTGCTGTTGCTGATGCGCAGGGACAAACAGGCGCAAAAAAGCCGCTTTGCAGTTTGAGAAGTGTCGGCATGTTTTGAAGACCAAACGAGCGCACTGATCTGAGGCTGCCTGCCACCCCTGCCCGCCACCCACCATCCCTCCGCCTTGGGACGGCTGCTCAGCAGCTTTTCTGCTCGAGTCTCCACGGCAGCAGCACTGTGAAGGCAGCTTTGATTTGACAGAGGTAGAGTAGAAAGAGATGGCAACATCAATCAAACGCCAGCCACCACTGAAGTTCAAATACTGAGCTGGAAAGAGGAGAGACTGCGTCCTTGAGCAGCATCAAGATGAAACGATTTCAATTCGGGGACAACTTTTAACATTTTAAAAAAAAAAAAAAAAAAAAAAAAAAGTAAGAAGGCAGAAGAGAGGGCCCTGGTCTCCAGGTCGCATGCAGCTCCTGCAGCTCTCGTGGTCCCTGATGTAACCACCCAGCATGACCAGTCCAGCCCCAGGCTGGGACAGGCAAACCCAAAGCACTCTCTGCCCTCACTCCACATTTCCCTGCCCTCCTCTCTGGCTTCTTCAACCAAAGCAGGGGATGCCAGAGACACTGCATGCTGCATTTTGGGGTCTGTGCTGCGTGCATGACAGTGATAAATACATAGATTTGTGGGGTGTCTGCAGGGATTGATTCTTCTACAAACAACCGCTGCTGGCAGTACTCCAGGCAGCCCTGCACACTCTGGCTAACCTAGCCCTAAACTCTCCAGGGGCGGATGTAGAGCGGTTGGGATTTATTCACAACCAGCTCTTGCTAAGGCTGCTTTCTTCTGTAGCTGCCTTCTCTTGGGGGTGCTGCTGCCTGCACGGCACAGGCACTAGTCTGCTGGAGGGGGTCTCCCAGCAGGACGTGAGCTGACCAGGAGCCCCCGTCCCCAGCGCCTGCCTCGGTGCAGCACCAGCTTCATCTCCACCCCAGCACATCGCTGGCAGGTTTCAGCGAGGCTGCACATCCCCTCAGCAACAAGCGAGAGCCCCAGCCGCCAGCCGGAGAACACTGTTTGCAGCAAGGTGATAGAAAAACTTTGCTCAGAGCAAGATAAAAATAATTCTTTCCAGAGGCCTGCAGCGCCAGCCCCAATCAATCACGCTCAGCGTGGCCAGCCGGTCGTCCCCACACGAGGAGAGTATTTTTGGCTCTGTGCTCACATCCCCTGCTGGGCTATGCTGAATAAATAATCAGGGTCAAAAGGAAATCTGAAAGGGAAGAAGGGAAAGAGTGAGAGCCATGTTATCAGCGCTGCAGAGAAGGGTGTGCTGCTCACAAAGGGCATGCGAGGAAGCGGGACACGAGCCCTGCCCTGGGCCAGGCCCCTCGCACAACACCGGCAGGCTCGGGACAAGGCGGGCTTCTTCAGCAAACCCCCACTGCAGCTCCACAGAGCGCTCAAGGGACAGCCACGCTCCCCTGGAGAGCCCAGGACCCCTCGGCTCGCTCCCCAGGATGCTGTATGCACCCCTCCACCCTCCTCCCCAGCCCTGCTGGGGCTCAGCCTGCAGCACAGCTCATCCCAGCCATGGCCCTCGCCTGATTTAACCGTCTGTCGCTGGCAGAGGAGCGATGAGGAACGAGCCAGCTGTGCTTCAGATGAGCTCTAGGGCTGTTTCCAACTGCAGCAGAGCTTCACATGTGGGTTAGCAGTGGAAAAGGGACGGGAACTTTGGGTAAAAGCCTGCCCTGTCCGGCAGCCAGTGCCCCACAGGCGGAATACCCAAGGACCAGCAGAGCACAAAAGAGGCTCCTCTGACTGTCATGGCCCCGCTCAGCCCAGGGATTCAAGCCCTGAGCTGTAGTTTCCAGCACAGAGCTGTAATCCCTCCCAGAGGCACTTCCTCTGCCTCCTCCGGAACATCACACGTGCCTGAAGTCCCTGCTTCAGAAAGGTTTTTCCCATCTCCACCACCACTGGCTGTGACAGTGTATTTCTCATACTCCCCAACACCTAATTAGCATTCCTCTCCACAGCCGCCACTAAAGCATCTTTGATATGACAGCTTCTCTCCACTGCAAATCGCTACTCCATTGCATCCCTCAGGTCGCTGGGTGGGTGCTACAGGAGACCCATGGGCACGGACAGGCTCTGGCAAACCCCTGCGAGCTGCAGCAGCCCATTTCTCTGGTACAGGCAAGGCTCCAAGTCTGTCAGCCCCCTTGAATCCCTTGAGGGGACTCCATGGGGAACTCTCTCTCCTCATAGCCTCTCCGGACACGTGAGCATGTAGCACTGCTCTCCGTGATGGAAACGGGTTGATGTCCCTTTCCACGGACACTGTCACCATCAGAGGCAGGTTCTCAGCCCTGTGGCCAGCTCTAGCTGAGCTGGCAGGTAGCCCAGCCCCCTTCCCAAGCACAGGCTCTGCTTTCGAAGCAGTGATGCTCCATACCTACAAAGAGAACGAGGCAGGGGCCCTCATTCAGCTGCACAGCGTTGGAGTCCGTCAGCTCCAGCACAGGCTTGGGGTGCCAGGGGAACTCGCGGCATTCGACATCATTCAGCACCTCCACTCGTCCCTGCCGCGTGATCACGTCTCCCTTGGAGTCCAGGACGATGAGAGTCGGGATGCCTGCGATGGAATTAAAACAGGGGGGATCAGCCAAAGCGTGAAATGGCCAGTGACAGGGTGTGGGGAGAAAGGCCTTTTCCTATCGCCTCTGGCTCTGGCAGGAGCCCAGCGAGCATGCTGCCTCTCCACAGCTTGTGCATGGTGTGAGAATCAGGGTCCCAATGTTTCCGTCCTAGCAGAGCACTGTAATTCAGCAGGCAGAGCAGGAAGCTGACAGACAGCCTCTGGCATTGCCTGCCTTTCCCTGCCTGAGTGCAGGCAGGGGTCACCGCTGTCTGACACCGATGCTCCTGGATGCAAACCCCATCATACTGCGCAGAGACCCTCATTGCAAGCTCCCTCTTGCAAAGTGCCAGACAGACGTGCCTGCTACGTGTGAGGCAGAGCGGCGCTGCCCCACAGGCACCACCGCCCCGGTGCTGAGACGTGGCTGCCGCTGGAAGAGCCCGGTCCCCGGTTTGCAGGAACACATGCAAACCTTTTTGCAGGGTGGACCGCAGGCAACGGCAGCCAGGAAGCAGGGTGTGTTCCTTCCCAGAAGTAACGCCATATATTTTAGCAGCCACAAACTCCTCCATGAACCCCCACACCCCTTCAGCACTTGGCGCTAATTGCCCAGCCATTTCCAGAGTGCAGGGATGCGTCTGATGAGTCATAAACATTATTACCTGGTTCAGACATGGTTTCACACCACCCGAGCCTGGCAAGGCACCCGACACTGCTGGAGGAAGAAAGGCCCCTGGACTGAGCGGCAGCTGCACAGCACTAACCACGGTGATTTAGTGTTCAGGGGCATGGATCACCCCTGGGAATACCCAATACCCACACCTCTGCAAGTAGAGATAGAACAGGATCATACTGATCGTATGCATTAACACTAGCAGACTTTGCCACATGGCTAAATCACACACAAATGAACGTGGCACCCACCTCACTCAGCCGCTGCTCTCACAGCGGTCTGGCAGTGGCTGCGGTGCAGGATCCTGCCACCGAGGCCGCCCTCCACACCCACCTGCCAGTTTCCAAATCCTACTGGACCAAACCACAGCTATAAGGAATAATACTCTGGCAGAGCAACCCTGCCCTCGGCCACCCCGGGATACCCTCAAGGAACCCAGTGGACTGCTGTGCCGAGAGGCTGGGATGGATACAGGTCCGGCTCTGTTGGGGAACAGCACGTGGGGAAGAGCAGACTCCCTTGCACGCCTGTGCTGGCTCATGGATCTTGTGCATGAAACCATCTTTGTTTCCCCAGCTGTGGCCTGGAGCTGCTTGTTACTGAGCACAACACACCTCTGCCAGCCCTGGCACAGCACTGAGCAGGCACCCTCCTGCCTGCAGGATGGAGGTCCTGGGTTATTTCTTTCTGCAGTTCGGACCCTTGGGAAAGGGAGGAACACATCCATTTTGCTTCATTTTGGGGAAAAAAATAAACCAAGAGATAATCAGTTAAATATGTCCCTCTACACGAAGACGGACAGTACAGATCTGCCACAACACATCCCTCCCACAACTAACAAAGCTGTGCAGGAACGTCTAGGGTCTACTGGATTGTGGCACTGGGCAGGACAAGGCTCAGGGGACATCTGATGAGGTTCTGGCCCTTGGGACAAAGCAGCATTTTGCCCTGAGCTATGGGGCTGAAAATCCCTGTCATAAAGCAGAAGCCTTTATAAGGGAGGCAAACACACTTGCAGAAGAGATTTAGCACAAGTCACCTATTCAAATGCGGCTGGGCTGGCAGTGTGGCAGGGTGGACACCAGCTGGTGACCGTCCCATCTGATAAGGTACTGACAAAGGCTTTCCGGCCACAAAACCGTCACAGGCGAGTCAACGGGAGCAGCTCGTGTTGGTGACTTCAGCTGGAAAGCACACCATTCCTCTCTCATCAAGGAAACAAAGAAACATCCCACAAGGAAGGAAGAGGGGAGAGTTTGGAATCAGGCCCCAAGAGACGAGTGAAATGACCAGTGTTAGTGTCAGGCGCTGCTCTCTGCTTCTCATCACCTAGGCTTCTATCTGCTCACTATCCAGCATCTCCTCCTTCACCCAGCAACATCCCCCAAACCACAATCGGCAAACTAAGGAAACTCAAATTCTCCTCATCCAAAGGTTCATTTTAAAGCTCGTTCGTTAGAAATACCCTGCAGAGCCATTCTCTGAGCAGGGGGGACTCAGCATGCTTGACCCTGCCAGACTCCTGGCACTGTGCTCCCATGTTTGTACAACAGTGGGTTACTCACAAGCCCTCTGAATTCTAGGCATTTCTCTAGGAAATACACAGCCATCTGTCTGTCCCACGCCTGCCTGCAGGTCCAGGCGAGCGGCCGCATTCTCCTCATTCCAGCCCAGCAGCGTCGCTCGCATTCCTGCCAGTGCGCTGGGGCTGCGAGCACCAGGCTGGTGCAAGAGCAGCAGCGCAGGAACGCGCCCAATGGCTAGGCTTGCAAATCCTAAGGGTATGTTAAGAAAACCATTTTGTATCACAAAAAGGCTTATTCATTACCTGCTGGTATTCAAAATAGCTCTAGGGCAGGGATGGGTTAAACAGACTGGAAGGAATTGGGAAATCTCACTCTGGCCCTGCCCTTCAAGGCACAAAGTTCTACTGAAGCCAAGAGAAGCACACGGTGATCAGCATCTCACATGATTCGGATCTTTATCATTTACAATTCCCAACTCCCCTGTCCCAAATGCCTGCTCTTCCATCCTCTCCAGACCTGCATTATACATGGGGAACGGGCTAGAAATGTGGGTTCAGCTCGGCACCGAGTCACCAGTCAGCCTGAACAATGCAGCATACCAAGGCAAAGATTTCAAATCAGCTTTGCTGATCTTGGAAAATTAAGGGCCCAATTTAGACACAGATCCTTGTGAGTGTGATCCCACAGCTATCAGGGACTTCACTAGTCGAAGCATTCTGACTTTAACCGATTTGCGTATGTGGACACACCCCCCCCAAAGCACCCAGCCACTAAAACCTCCGACTGCAAATACAATACTGACTCAGAAAACAAAGAGTCTTTAAGATAAATCATCCTGGAAATGCAAGTAATGCATCAGAAAACTTGGGGCTGGGTTTTCAGACTGTTAGGAGGTGTGTGACATGCGCTGGGTCAATCTCTGCACCTTTTACCCTGCATCAGAAGTTTCTCCCCAGCCAGGAAGCTCTGGTTTCCTTTCTGGACCCACCTGGTGAAGGCTGAGGCCACTGTAAGCCATCTCCTCCTAGTCCTGAGCATCGTTGCTTTGTCTCCTCGGCTCCTTCCTGCACATCCCTGGCTGGGTCCCTAGGGTCCGGACACAGCCTTACCAGGCTCACGGTGGCATCCCATAGGACCAGCCTTATCTTCCCAGGAGAACCCTGCTACTGCTCCCCTAGCAAACACGTCCTCTTTGCCCGGGATACAGACCAGCAGGACCAGGGGAACCGTGCTTAACTTTATTCACACCTGCTAACCCCAATACTTCCCCCTGGTGTCCCCCCCTGCTCATCCCAGCCACTATTTGTTATTTTAGTGTCTTTTGGGGGCTTTGGTAATTGCCATGAGTCATAACACCAGAATTTACTTATCAAGAAGAATCACAGATCAGACACTGCAATGAATATTGTATAAGCTTAGATGAGAATTAGCATAGACGGGCTCAGTTTGATTTTATGCGTTAGAAAATGGATTTGGTTCCCACGGGGCTAGCATTTTATGAGAACACAGGGGCCAAATGATTTTTTACCGAACCTGGCAATACATTTACTTATTTATATATTAAAACCCATATCTGACATGGAAATCTCATCTGCATTAATTCTGTTGTGTGAGTAATCAAAATCAACGTGAAGCAAACACTCAGAATACACCAACCGCAGGACAGGTGGTGGGTTTTATTGCTGTTTTTTCACCTTTTCAGAAGAAAGCTCCAGAAGTCTGGTACAAGGAACCTCCCATAACAGTGACTTCCAGGCTTCTCCCACCAGCTGGGCTGCGAGGGTGACCTGTGGGCGTCTGGGCTAAAGCATGGGGCAGGGGGAAACAACAGGTTTTTGAAAGTTCCCCCAAGGGACTGCAAATCCCAAAGAGACAGCACGGAGTCCATAGGGAATATTGAGGAACCCGAAAGGTCTCATAAGATACACAACAACAAGGGGCAATTCCTATCAAAGCATAAAATTTATCACTGCTCCCCATCCCACTGCAAGAAGAGCTAACGTCAGGGGATTTCACCTAAGGCAGGACCACGCAGATAGGGAGCTGCCCGCACAACAGAGAATTATTTCTAAGCAGCCACGACACAAGAAAATGACTCTTTCTCAAGATAGTGCTGCACCCAGAAGCAATTTAATATAGGTGGGTACGGTACAGCCTACTGACTGCACATGGGTTATGAATAGAGGCATTCAAGTAAACCCAAATAAAGGCCAATAACTCAACTTATATTTTATACTGAGTTTTTGAATGCTGTAGGGGCCAACACAGGACTAAAACAACAAGAGATTTGACTCTTTTGCTGCTTTCTACCACTCAGGAACTTAAAGCAGTCAGGGAAGACAAGCTCTTCTGTTGTTTCAGCTCCCGGCCTTACAAAATCCAGCGGAAAAACCGCCCCACGTGCATGCTGTGCTCATAACCCAAGGCACCACCAGGATAGTAACCTGGACACTGAACAGGCTACATGCTCTTGCTGGTGCATAGGTGCAGCTCCAAAGGGGACTTTGAAGATACTTGGCAGCCTCAGAGCCATGCATCTGGGGAAAGGCAGATGAGATTACATGGATCTGATTTTTTGTTTAGGTGGAATAACCACGAGTGGTGATGAGCTAAGTCCACAGTATCTAGCTCTGTTTGCAGAAAGCTTTTGCTACAGCCAGTGCGGCAGCCTGCTTCGAAAGCCTGACTGCAAATCTCAAAGTTGACAGGGAGGATCCCAAACTGCTGCCTGTGCAGGGATCAACAACAACCCGGAGCCCCTGGGAGCAGCACGAGGGTTCACCTTCAGCCCTCTCCCTTGCCTCCTGGTGCCCCGGCACCCCCCTGCAGCACCCTGTTCCACCCCAGACCGCAGTGGGGAAACAGAGCCCAGCCCAGCCTTGCAAAGCCTGTAGAGAGCCTGGGCGGGAAGGGAGGTGGGACGGCAATGCCTCCTGCAGAGGGTGCAAATCAGCCTGGCTCCACATTTCAACGCCACTTTGTGGGACCACAGTTCATCCTTGCAGAGAGGTTCCCACTTTACAGGAAAACCATGATAGATAAGCAGAAAGGTTTGCACTCAAACATGCCCAAATCCCAGGGTCAGCATCCCTGGGAGAGCAGCTGATATGCAGGGGTAATATGGGAGCTTCCCTGGCAGAGGAAGGGGTCAGGGCGCAGGGGAACAGCAAATATTTACATTTTCAGGTCAGCACACAATGAAGAGAGACATTTAAGGACCCAGCGGCTCAAGTCAGAGGGAAAGCTGTTGTCACTGTTTCCCTGGCTACAGCATGCCTGGTGCTCAAGTATCCATGCTTGGACACCTTATTTACAGAAAGTCCCAGTGAAACTGGCAGCAGTCCTGCAGTGCTCAGCCGAAACCGGCACTGGAGAGGTTTGTGAGCAGGCTGGGGAAAAGATGGATGAATTTGGAAAGCTCTTGCCTCATGGGAAGGTAATTAAGCAGCAAACTGACGGCTACCTAAAGCAGGCAAATGGTTATTCTTGGTTTAAGGTCAGGGAACAGAGCTGAGCGACAGCACCTGAGCTCCACCCCAGGAGGAGTGTTCAGAGAGGACCCCAAGGAGGGATTATTTCTCCTGCCACTCTCCCCAGGCCCTTGGCCACCTTTGGCAACACTCCTCCTCCCCTGCAGATTGCGTTAACCCTCTGCCAGCCTGTGCCCACCTCACCAATGCTGCATGGAAATGGATAAGAAAGCAAGACCCTTTAACCACAGGGAGAAACTATATGTACATACAGAAGACCTCCTTGCGAGCTAGTCACCTTGCACGTCTCTATGCTGCAGTTTGTCCCCTGCAGGAATGAGGTGCCAGTCCCCAGGAGGGCTGCTGTGAGCTTTTATCGTCTTCGTGACTCTTTAAAGCCACCCAGACAGACCGAGTCTCTCCCCTGCCCCTCCGAGCAGCCAGGGCTGCTGGAATTCCGGCACTGGCATGTACAGTAAAAGCAAAGCCATGGTTTACATCAAACACGCACTCTTCTGTAATTCATGTCACTAACATAAACCAGATGCCATCTTCCCCAGCCTCTGCAGAGAACGATGGCCTGCCTTTGCGTTACATAAAACAGCAAGAAAATGAAATTTAAACCTTCAAGAAAAAGCAAAATAAATAAATCAGTAATTAGGCAAAAAACATCCAAGCCAAAAACAGCTTCCAAGTTTCCAGGAAGAATTAGGTTGTTTATGGAAGTCCTGTTTCAACTAACAGCCTGCCTGGCAGGTGGTAGGAATGTGAGTTTGTGGAGAGCAGAAACATGAAGCGGCTCTGCCTGGGGCACTGTGCTTTGCTTTGCTGTTTTCTTGTTTTAGTTAAACAAGAGGAGACATTACAAATATTCAACAAAAGGAGCAGAAAGGAGAGCTGTGCATCAGTGTGGCCTTTCCTACCTTGTATGCCATAGAGGCGATTCAGGCGCGACCGTCTGGCCTCGTCGGCGTACGGCACAGCTACCCAGGGCATCTCACTGAAATATTGCTTGAAGGAGTCCTCTGACCTGTGCAAAGGGAACAGGGCATGGGATCCAGAGTGCAGCCCCTCTGCCTGCCAGGCTCCTTCCTCTTCTTCTCATTAAAAAACTGGCCTACAAAGCCCTTTACCCCTTCCACCAAAGCCCATCAGTAACGGCTGCTGGCAGACACAACCCGGGAAGGACAAATTTCACGTCGTCAGTCCCTCAAGAAGGGGTCCACGGTGCATTTTTTCCCAACATTTCAAACTCGCTGGGGCATCTGAATGCCAACCCCTGGCAAAAGCAGCAGCTCAAATATCTTTCAAACCTCAGACCCACAAGCCACAAAGCGAAACACAGAGCTGCTGCATGGACAGAGCCTGCTCTCAGCCCATCACTGCCCTCGCTAACCCCCTTTGCACTTTGCCAGTGGGCAGAGGGCAAAGGATTCGGGGCAGCCTTTGTGATACCAGAGCCAACCTGCTCTACCCCAAATCAAATTTCCTCCTCAAATCAAATCCATAATGCTCAGAGCTTCCCAGCTTGGGGGTAGCCATCTTTGCCTGCAGAGCGCGTTAGCACTTCCTTACCTGTCTGCACTAACGAAGAGTATTTCAAACTTCTGGCCTGCCTCCTTGATCTTCCGGTAGGACTCCACCAGGACCCTTGTGAGGCTTCGGCACGGCGGGCACTGCAAAACACAACACATGCATAAGGACATCGTCTCCTCTACAGGGGCAGACCCCCACCCAGCAGGTCCAGATGATCTAGTGACCATGAAAAGACAGATGTGACTTCATCTTTGCTGGAATGCTGGGCAGCAGCCCTGAATGTGGCTGGGGCTTATGGCCCATACGTTGCCAACAAAACCGCTTGAATTTTTTAAATCTGACTATTCTTCCCCTTCTAAAGGGCCAGCTGAGGATGACAGGCCACTGCAATGCTGCAGCTTCTTCCAGAATGACTGGAGCATCTCAACTGCCTCAACACCAGCCAGTCCAAGGTCTTTACTCTCCCTCAGAGCTCTGCAGCAAGAGCCACAGGGGGAACGCCAGAGCACCCCCAAGCTCACTGCTTTGCAGTGAGTAGATGCTCTGCAAAGCATCTACTACTCACCCAGTGTGCAGAGAAATAGACCCCAACGTGCGAGCCCTCCAGGGCATTGCTGTCTAGTGTCTGGCCGTTGTTCCTTAGCAGAGGCCCAGCAACAACTTCACTAAAGGGTTTTGGCCCCCAGGGGAACTCCAGACCTGGAGAGATCGGGACAGGGCCAGAAAGAAGACACAAAACAGCAAGATGCACACGCAGCATTTACAGTTTCAAAAAGTTCCACCAGAAAAACCCATCCCACCTTCTCTTCTGCAAATATATGCAGGAGCCGCGGAAGCCAAGCTCCGCACTGGAACCAGGGCCACCTCTTTTTCTCCAGGCAGGCTGCACCATCGCTTGAGTCGCAGCACCTTCAGCTTGATGAAGCCTGCTCTGGTTTTGTGCCTGATGAGGTATCTTTTTCTTATCAACAGCGTTTATTTTAACAACAGAGGGCAAGGTGGTATGTGCTCAGGAATGCAGTCAGACTATTTGCCTTATACTGATACTAACCATATATTTTTTTATATATACACATATACTTATTTATTTATAAAACCTTATATATATATATATATGTAAAAGATGGAGGGTTTATATATATACACAAACATATATATAAAAAACCTATATATAAACTAAACTTACGCTAACCCTCTGCACCCCAAAGCAAGCATGTGTGCGTACACAAAAACACATGCTCTGAATCATCTGCTGCCAGCTCCCAGAGCAATCAATCTATGTATTCAGCCAGAGAGGAGGAAACATCACAGATGGCTCAGGCCACAACGTGTACTTGCTGCACAGTTCCTGCCACCTGAATTAAAGACTCAGTCACCACACTCAGTATCTACTGCATGAAGAAATGACGAGCCAGTAATATGTGTGCATGGACAGCCTACAGCAGTTGAATGATGGGTCTGCAGAGCCTATGAGTAAGGGCACACATTTTGCTCATTTTGGTTTTACAAATTGGAAGAAGATGGATTTAACATCAACCCCCAGCACAGTAAACCTCAGAAACAGAGAACGGTAGCACTTTTCTGTTGCATTTCTAAATAATGGGGAATTCATTATCCTAAAAGATTGTGATGTCAGTGATAAAGTCCCACACAGTATTTTGGAAGGATTCTGCTCCTAAGGTATGGGAAGTTTGGGCCCTCAGTCTGTCTGTCTGTGTGCCTCCATCAGGGAAAAATCCAAACTTAATGTTTCAGTTAGTCTAACTTTTTCCTCATTAGCACTTCAGACAAAAATCCTGAAGGGGAAATCTTTGTTCTTTTCAACAAGCAAAACCAAAACACAAGATCTGGCAGGAATGATGCAGAAAAATTTGTGCTGAAGATAATACAGTGCCTTGATTAGTTAAGTATGACAATAGTTGTTTGTTTCCTTCCCCACACCCCCCAAGGCAATTCAAATGAACTGAAATGAAAAGGCAGCTGTGTGCCCATGTTTCTGTGGCATGGGGGACTCCAGGCCTTACCTTCTGGGTCATCTCGGATTACCAGGAGGCCGTTCCTGCAAACCACCTTCCCAGTGGAGGCATCGATAAATATCAGGGAAGGAATGTTGGAGACTCTGTACTTGTTCCACAGCTTCAGCTGTAAAAGAGATTGAGAGAGGAGAGGAGAAAGGTAAACCTGGCAGCGTGAAGAGGAAGATTTTGGACCGTTAGCATCTTCCAGACCAGAGGTCAGAGCTAAGCAAAGAAACAGAGCTGGTGCTTCAGCAATGTGTGTGAAGGCACGTGAGGGCATCTCTCCAGAGCTGCTGGGCCAGCCTGGACCTCCAGTGCCCACAGAGACCCGCACCATCAACACCATCCCCTTGGTATCACAGGTGAGACCACCGTTTGGGTCACACCTGCTGCAGGCTTGCCTGTGAAGGCAGGTGAAGTTTCTCCTCCTGCTGCATTTGCCTCTTTGCAAGTAAAATGGGGATAATATTTACCATACTTTGAGGTCTTTGTTTAGAAGACATGGTAAGCACAAATACTTTTAATGCCACTACTCTGAAGCAATTTGTAATGCTTCCCCGGCTGTTTCCTCCCCTCCCATTTCAATGTTCATTAAACAAACAAGCAACCCCTGCCAAGACACAGCCACACTGAAAACAAGGCCAACACACAGAAACAAGATTCTTCTGCAAGTGGGACTTCCCAGGTTTGTTCCCAGGAGCTGGTTTGACATCAGCCTGGGGGCCACACAGCCCAGCTCATCTATCCTGCACTGCCAGTCTTGCAGTGGTCCCCGCCGGCTACAGGCAAAAGCCATGCAGACTGCGATGGCCATGTTTTGGGCATCCCGGTCTAGATGTTGCTGTTTGCCGGTCATTATGTTTTGCAGCAAGCTCAGCTCCGCACAACACCAGTGACTGAGCGCACTGGGTGTCACACAGTCCTGGGTTGACATTTCTCAGCGTATGCTTCTGGCACAGCATAATTTGAAGCTTAACCCACGTACAGAAGCTCACAGGGACGAGGAGGAATGACACGACGACAGCTGCTGGCACGGCCCAGCCTGCAGGTGTGGGCTGGCTGCGGCCACAGGAGCCGGTCTCCCCACCATGCATGGAGGAGCTGCTATGATCACTGCGTTTACTTACATTTCTCCAAGCATTTCAACCTAAACAGCCCAGTGGTGAATTGTCAAACTCTTAAACAAGAGCCAAACTCTAGCAGAGAGCCAGAGGGGAAGGAAATGAATCACCACCTTCCCCTAAGCTCTGCTCTGCAAAGCCCTTCAGGCTCTGGGTGTTTACAACTCGCTTGGGTTTGGAGAATAAAACCCCGAAACAGGAGAAGGGCAGGAGGGCACAGAGAATCCCACCCAGTCCCAGTGAAGGTTTGAGCACGAGAGCCAGAGAAACCCTCCCACGTCATGCTGCTGCTTCCATTGGTATCTCACATGGAAACTGGACCCAGGTGTTTTCCCAGAGAAAGAGGCCACTGCTCTGTGGATGACCATCCCCAATTTCCAAATAGAGGCAAGCCGGTTTCCCCGAGATGGGAATGATCTGGGGAACCAGGCAACAAGGGCAGGAATGGGATGCAGCGTGCAGATCTCACCAGAGATCTAGCTGAGGGAGAAAGTCGCATCCACATTCAGGTTTTAATGTCACTGTATTACAGATTTCTTCCAACACCTTTTTGTAGAAGATATATCTGGATGAGTGACATGAGTCAGCCTGCTTGCAAGGGGGTGTTAGCAAAACACTCTTGGGTCTGAATGAAAGTGTTACCACCGATCTAGGAAGACTTCATTAACCTCCACCTACTAGGACCTAGAGAGAGGCAAGATTTTGTGTCCTGCCCACCAGCCTTCGATTTCCAATAGACATATTTCTTGGGCCAAGCCACTCATTCACAATGCCAATTCACAAACCAAATGGCCTTGGGCATGAAAAGAAAAAAGAAATCACACTAAATGCAAACCAGCCCCCTCACAATGAGCGTTCAAACCACAGAAGGTAAAATCCACTTCTGTGAAGTTTAAAGGGTGGGGAAAAGCTTTTTATAAGGATCACAAGCATTTAAGAGGGTGTTACAAACAATGAGGAAATTACAACTAGCAATTGGATCGTTCTCTTTAAACAGTTGCTTACATTACACTTCATTTTGCCAAGCCCTTTGTATATGGGCAGCAGCTCCCTTGGGGCACTACGGCTGGTTGTGGCAGTTTTGCTTGGCTGTGGAAGCGGCAGGGTCTGCGCTTCAGAGCCAAGAGGCTGCATCAGCTCACTGTGCTCAGGGGGACGAGGCTGGGACACCCCAGATAAGGGGATAAGACCAAACCAAACCCGCTCTTGCTGAAAGCACTGGAGTGAACGATGCACGGCTGGCGCCAGGCAGTCTGCGGGGTCCAGCAGACAGGGCAGCTCTCGCCAACAACCGGCCCTGGGTCTTCTCGAGACGTGTAAGCCATCAGGCCCCATTGGGCCCAAACTGCAGACTGGTCTTGGCTGCCCAGACATCTGCAGTACGGGTAATCTGCAATCCAGATACTCTGTCCCCATGAAATGGAGGGTTGCCACTTCTAACTCATAATTGAGGGTCCATAGGAGAACGCCTCAAGCAAGCATGAAGCTAGGTGTCCGTCGAAAGGGTCAAAAAGCATCAAAAAAGGTCAAGGTGACATCTGCTGCTGCTGGGGGAGCACATCCATCACCGGGCTCTAAGGCTTGAACCCAATGAACATCATGTCGCGCTCAGTCATACCTTGGGCAAACAAGAAAAAGCAATCAAAACTGCAAGGTTTTATTTACCTTGCCTCTGTGCAAAAGCTGCAGCTCCCAGACATCACAACCCACCATCCCACGTCATGCCACATGTTTCAGAGCTTCATACATGCTGAGCAGCGCTTACTATTTGCAATATATTTGCTGCCTGGGTTATCGCTGAAGCCCATCATATGACATCAATGAACAAACACAAGAATTGCATCATGCAGACGACTGGAACTGGGTTGCCATTTTAAGCCCAGTTATAAAAGGCTTGTATTGGAAATTAGTGGTCTCAACGCACTAACCATATTAATTTTGCTGTCTGTATCGGAAAGTACACGAATGTGCTGTTTAAAGTGGGAGCAGTTTGATTTGATGAGCCTCCTGTGCACTACGAAAGCTGATGGGGAATGAGAAACGCATGCGCTGCGGGACAAGTGCCAGAATCTACCACTGTTCCCACCACCCTGACCCTCTTCAGCCAGACTCAGCTTTCCGAAGCCTGTCAGACATTTCTGAAGGAAGCCTGATGGCTCCTTTTACTGCAGGTCTGACCTGAAAGAGCAGAGCCTTGATAGGAAATGGGCTGGTTCATTTTAGCTGGGCTTTTTGGATAAGATAGCTCACTATGGGATTCCCACACCATGCCACTATTCTGCAGCTGAACTGCGGCTTCCAGCAAAGACATCCAACCTCCACCTAAAGCCTCTGAATACCAGGATGACCTAACCCGTCTTGTGGCAAACTATTGCAGCGGTTAGTTTTTCTCAGGGTAAAATGCCGAGGGTTTGCACATGTGCAGGTTCTACCAAGGAGACGAGATCCTCCTCGGTCCTGCTTGGCATACAGCCGCTGGTTGTGGTCCAGGCAGAAAGGGGAGCCCAGGAGAAAAAGGCATCCCTTGTACAAGTACCTGCACAACTGCACACCTCGCAAGGGATCCTGTGTCGGGCTGGGCGTGGGATGCAGAAAGCAAATTACGACTTGCTCTGAAACCGCAGGATGATGGGATGATAGCTCAGGCAGCAGGGCCGAGTGCTGCCTCAGCAACTTTTAAAAGCTGTTTTTCCTGCCATGAAGAGGATGACATAGAAATAACATACTCCACACTCTGAGGATTTGATCATCCATTTAAAGAGGGGATCTCTGCTCTGCTTCCCAACAGCTGTTGCAAATCTGTGGGATCAAGCCAAAGCTAACACAGATGTGGAAATAATCTACGGACTATTCAGCCCGAAAGCAGCTGATTCTCTCGGAGTGCCCTTCGCTCCTGGTTTAGGCTACACGCCTGCTAAATGCAATACCCCAGGATGCTCACTGGAGAAGGAGAGAGGAAATACAGCCCCTCGCAAGATACCTCACAGGCTGAGCAGCTTTACAGAAACCTCTCTGGCTCCTGTGCAGGTGGTTAAGTACAGCAGTCCAGTGGAAAAACCAGAGTCACCAGATTCCTCTGGTAACCTTATCCCTACACAAACCATCACCACGACGTCCTGGAAGACCTGGAAACCACAGCCCTGGGCTCCCTCTGACTCCATCCATGACCGGCTGTGAAAGGCTTTAAAACGATCACTTATTATTTGAGGTCTGAGGTGATCCCAAGACGTCAGCCCACGCAGCAACACTCAGCATCAGTCGCAAAGCTGCTCTCCACACTGGTGGCTAGCTCAGCTATTTCCCCCACCCTTGTGACTGGGAAATGCCTGGCCGAGACGCACGTTGGAGAGAAGTTTGCAGACAGCCACAGTAATTTTTCCAGATAAAGGTGTCAGACAAGAGGTCTCCCCAGCAGCCCATGGCTGTTTCTGCGCAGGGCTGGCACCCGGCCGGGGCAGATGAAATCCCCTCCTGCTCTACATGTACTGGTGGGGAAGGGATCCCCTGCTTCCAACAGCTGCTGGGTGCTATTTTTGGTTGTGCTGATTGATTTATCAGCCCTGGTCACATTCACTTACTAACATAAATCCTGAGCTGCAGCGGTTAATGCTGGCAAAGATAAAACACAACTGCTTTCAGTGAAATGAGCCCTGGCTGGTGGGAAAGTGGTCCTCCCGCCCTCGTTGGGGGCTGCGTTTCTCTGCTGTTGTGTGAACCTGGACCATAAAAGCTCTCACGCCTCCATCTTCCATAGGATACAGAACTGCCTCTGCCTGGGAGACACAGAGGTTTCAGGGGCACCTGCCCGTGCCAGCGGCAGGGTAGACGCTGCCTCTGCTCATCTTGCAACTCAGACTTCCATGCTGACCAACGACAGCCAGACAAAGCTGGTTTAAAAACCCAAAAGCAGGTTCCTCAGCAATAATGAACATGTTCCCAATGGGGACAGCCGCTGCTTTCTGCTAAATGAAATGCAAAGCCACTTTTCTTCTAGAAATCTATC